CTATACACGCAAAATTTTCAGGCATACAGTAACAGCTGTTTCACTTTTTCAGTTATGCTAGCAACAACAAAACCATGAATCAAAATATGCAATTCCAGTATTATATTTGTATAAGCCTTGAACATAACATCTCATAATCTCATACACATAGTATTGGAACAAGATGCACGCAGTTCACTGGGCATGAGTAGGCTATTATTATGCTAGCAATGGAAAGAGCAACAGATCAGATCATGAATTCATTTACCACTCACATAATACATGTACTTATATTACATGTATCAATGGTTCTTTAATTATAAAGGAAATTCCAAGTCATTACTCTTGTTGCTAGCTTTAAAAAAACTTTGATAAGAAAAGAAATGCCTTTGTTGGATAGAGGGGTCAGAGAAGTATTAGTCAAGAACAACACAACCATGCAACAGGCAATATAAAAAACATGAGAAAGACGTACGACTACATTTGTTTCTCCCCTTGACACTGCTAAGTAACAGAGTGGAAAAAGTAAAAATTTTGATTAGAGCTTAATAACCTCAGTAACCAACTAAAATCAACCTTACAGTAAAGTAAACAAAGCTGTACTTCAACAGTATGTAATATTGATCAAAATATTAAAATGCACACCCAAATTTGTAGTAGAACTTAAAAAAGAGTCACTAAAAACGTCACCATATAAAGCATCATTAAGTGAAAATCCTCTTAAAGCACCATGCCAGCCAAGAAACAAGGAAATTCTGTTTAATCACAAAACAGAAAAAAACCATTGTTACTTTATTTACTGCAAACGTAAAAAAGTATTATTAGTAGAGGTATAATAAAAATGCCCGTTAATAACAAGTGTTTTTTAGTAAAAGAAAGTTGCTAATGGCATCTCTTAAGCAAGAGATTTACTTTCTTAATGGCACACAATACTAGAATCTTTCAAATTCCAATCAAAACTGAAAATAAAACCAAGCACAGCCATTCCTATACTCCCAAAACAAGGAATGAAAAGTCACATGATTGAAAGTTTCATTAATTTCTTTACCAGATACTCATTAAAAGGCATTATGTAAAGACAACAGTGGAATAAGATTCCTCAAATTGAGCATTGCACAGGTTGAGATTTTCTCAATACAAATGGAAGAGAAGAAAGAAACTTTCTTTCTATCACTTCTTTTTTTCACTTTCACTTTAAAAACTTACTTCTTTTTCTATCTAGGATAAACCCCAAGACTAAAAACAAAAGAGGTAGCAAGGAATCAAAATTAAAATAAACCCAACAACAGTTGTAAAGTAAGCAGGAATAATCTTGTATCTAGCTCTATGAGTATGAGTATAACCTTTAAAAATGTACAAACAGCCACTCGCTGACCATCTTATCAAGTGACACCCTTCTAATGGTAACATAACACAGATGAACATGATGAGCTGTAATGAACACATGTGATATTTACCATGGTGTACAATCCCAGTCGCCTTTTCTTTTCTTTACTCCTCACTCCTAACCAAGTGATGTCTTTGAAATAATCTGACCATGTCTAATTACTAGGTAAGATAATACAAAGACAAGAAAAGCTACCAAATATTTCCCAGAGGACACTACATTATTTACAAAATTAAAAATTCAATGTGAATAAAACCAGCTGAATATAGTTATAGGGAATGAATTTTCAACATTCCTAATTGAAGTACAAAATAGAAAGGAAAAGTTGATTGATTTTCATATTTCATTCCTATTAAAGAAAAAGCACTCACTTTGATTAAGAACAACACAATAACACGTTATTTGCATAAAATAAAAGAGACATAAAGATAGAGAATAAACCTGCAGGATGTTCATGACAATTCCCGTCTTAACATTCTTGCTAAATATATTCCTACAACTTTGTGCCTCTTGCATGAAATTCACAAACACATTCAAAGTCCACCGGTGACATCATAGAAAAGGGAATGTGGCCTTGGCCTCCAACTTTTAGGAGAAATTAAAGATGTTCTGGCATTACCCACAAGGAATGAGATGAAATAAAGTGTACAACTTTACTATTGTATCAGTCCATTTTTGACTGCAGCTGTAACAGACATGATTGTACAGTATCAACAAGCTGCTACATTTACACTTGAACAGAAAAGAAACATTTTTGAAAATCTACAACCATGTAGGCTAACATCACTGAAACAACAAAAGGCACACTGTTTCCACAAATCACATATTGTCTGCTCAACTTAACAATATTCTGAATACAGCAAAGATATCAGTCTAATTTTTTTTTCACTTTTAAAATATACCTGGCAGGCGTTTTACGCCCCCATCGACACTGTTTAGATCATTTAGTTTAGGAGGTAGGTTTTGACCCTGCTTGTCAGGGCCAACCCGAGCTGAGAGGGATACAGAATCCCAGCAGAAAGATAGAGACACTTGATAAAAATTCTCCCTACTTAGGAATCCAACCCAAGTCTCCTGCCTGTGACAGCAAAGCACCAAAGTGCTACACCACAGACATCTGTAAAAGACATCTGTTATCATTATGTTCTGTATATCATGATAGAAGTAAGACAAAGATGTTGACATTGATAACAAAAGGGCTTGTACCCAAAACGTATAAAACAAATCACAGAAATGTCACTATGTCAGAATAAATACATATGGGTGAAAGTGAGAATGAGAATTCCGGCCATCTGTTTGCCAATATTTTGGCACAAGGCTGGACTCACCCACACTATATAACACAGCAAAAATGCTTACGTAGCAGTAGCAGGTCAGAAACATATACTTTTTTCTCAGCAGTAATTCAGTTATACCAAGACCAAACTCACTGGAAAAATTGCAGTGAATTTTTATAATCTTTTTTTGTATCACTAAAGCATCATAAACAATTTGTACAGAGAATTTAGAAAAAAAACTTTTCTCAGTTGAACAGTAGAGATTCAGAGAGATCAGATCTATTAAATTAAAATGAAACAGGAGCATGTTTAGAGATTTAAGAGAAGGAACTTCTGAGATTCTCGCTTTTATAGAGATTCACATATTCATATTGAGATTACGATTATGTTTTCTACTTGGTACAGTCATGCTTGAATATTATATAGAGAGCTGCGGAGTGAGAAAATATCCGAACAAAAAGCAAAAAAAAAGCCCTAAAATTAACTTGGTGTAAATACAAGAAACATCAATTAACAGAAGACAAGCTGCATAAATATGTGAGTTGTCAAATATTTGCTAGGTATAGAAGATGTACTCCTAACTAGTATACTCCACCCTTTAATTATCTGACCCTGAGTGAGTGTCAGTTCTTGGTCCTGTCATGTATTAAGGTCTGAGACTTTGTCAGATGCTTTTTCCCTTTCATATCCCTCTTCTCTTAACACACAGTTAGGCATTCATAACTCTGTAAGAACTGAGATTAGCACACGCAAGGTATTCATAGACACTGAATTTGAAAAATTCCCCAAAATAGTCAAAACAAAGAAAACATTCTGAAACTAAAACTGGTCCTCATTACAACTGAATAATATACCATATAAAATACATTCGTATTATAATTTTTCAAAAAATTGGGTCAAAAAGTATAGCCCTGTATTATTTGTGCAACATACAGCCCAATAAACTGGAAGTAATGCCAAACAGGATTTTCTATTGAACATATTTCCATCTTCATTGACCAGCTGATTTATTAAAGATCTGGATATTACAACACATGGTGTGTACCTTGAATCACTTGTCACTCCAGTCTTACAGATAAATGCAGCAACCAACAGTTCTTTAAGGTAAGACACTATATTTGTTGATGCCCTACCTACGTTGAGCAATACAAATTTAAGTAAAAAATAAACAATGACTGAGCTGCAAAAGCCCAGCAAAAAAAATGATACAACAGTCATGGTCACACAAAAAAATTCAAATATATATAGGCTCTCTCTCTCTACATATATATATATGCACTTTTTGCAAAATGCCCAGAGTAATGAGCAGTTTCGTTTGCTATTAATACTATTAAGAAGTACAAAATAGGTAGGCCTATATCAAAAGTTGTCAGAGTGATCTTTTCATGTAGGCGGAAATAATGCCAGAGATTACAAAATAGAAAGCTATGGGTTATATATGACCAGTGGATGGCTTACTAGTCAAGACATGAGACATCCTGTTTAGGAATCAAAGAAAGTGTCTGGTACATAATTTCAAAACAGATTTAAGAAAGTAAACACCCTTCAAATGTGTGAATAAAATGTTTGAGTAGGTAGCGTAAACACGACCTCGCGGGCACTTGTGGCCTTCCGAGCGCGTTGTATTGGTGAAATCAGGGTAATTCCCATCGCTGTTTCTTTGCTCTTTCGTTACAAAACACCAAATGCCATACACCTAGTAAAAGTTCAGCTTTTCCTTGTTACAACGGTGTAAGTTGTTTATATGTCTGATTATTAGGAGCCGGAGAATCGCCGAGGAAAGCAAAGCCCCTTGTGGTCGGAATGCGTGGTCGGCCGGTTCAAAAACTGACATGCGTGCATTCAAATGCTTTGCGGAAAGATTGATGACTAATACCGTCTTTTCATTGGCGGTGAACTGTAGAGCTTTGAACGTGCTTTCCCGAGGTATATTTTTGGCCTTTGGTGTTTAAATAGAAAGCCTTTAAAAATACCGCCAAAATTTTAAAAGATCATTTATTACACAACATATGTAAAATACCGACTCAAAAAACGTACCAATAGCAAGATCAGTATATTTCCTATTAGAATAAAGTAATCAGCTTGCAATTATTTTGCATCGATTCTTCCGCGAAACTCAGAAAGCATGTGACGCTCCACGCGGGGTACACTACAGTATAGGGCCGACTCGCTCAGTGTTTTTGTCGAAATAACGACAGATCATCGTGATTGAGGCAATAAAATAATGATTTGTAATGATCTCACAGTCTTGAAAAAAATTAGGCTCCATACATATGTTATGGTGATTGTACTCTGTTAATGTGGAGATGTATAGTGCACTTAGTACTCTTTTATTATCTGTCAAACATGGGGCTGGAGCCTGGGAGCGACTTTAACAAATTTGATCAAATTTTTAACAACTACCATTTTCTTAAAAATTGACTGAGAAGTTAAAGAATGGAACCAAAATGCTCAGGGGATATAGGCCTTTCATATGGAACAGATAAATTTGGCATACAACTACTTTGAAAATGTAGTTTCTGGTACCTAGTTTGAGTCTGCATTCAATTTTCACTACTGATTCATTACTACATAGCTCAGAAATAAGTCTACATCACATGAGATATCCTTCTCACACATTTCCATTTGAAGGTGCAGCACCATTGCCACAACCAATAAGACACTTTTCAAAATGGAACAGATGGCCTCGATTCTTTTTCAAGAAGTACGCATAAAAGAGCCATCCAATACAAATAAAAACAAATGATATTATGACAAGCAAACCAAACTGATGCTCGTAAGGAGCCAAAACCACCATTAAAAACTTGAGCATATCCATTAGTTGATTCAGAGAACTCTGCACTCCATTGACTTTCCCTCTCTCAGCCTCTTCTACTCTCTCCAAGAACAGCTGTGTAATTGCTAAATCAGCCACCCAGAGACCTGTAGGACACAAGCAGAAATAATATTTCATATCCATAATACAAAAGTATTATCACTGACATGAAAATGACATTTCTACATATAAACAAAGAGCAGAGAATGAACAAAGAATATGCATACAAAGCCCTTTCAAATAAATTTACTGTAGCAGTATTTTTGCTAACAAAGAAAGAAATATATCAATTTAAGATCAAATGGCTTTACAAAAATAATTCTTCGAATCAAAAGGAGATCATAAACAGCACACAAAAATTGTCTGAAGTAAAACAATATATTATAGCGAACTTCAAACATCATGGATAAAAAATAAAACACAAAAACAATAGTACCAGTGCAGTATGTAATACATGCCCATTTTTCGGCAGCTATTCTTTCCAGGTCAGTGCCTGCGACTTAAAGATTGCAGTAGACAGTGTCTTCAACCAAAAGCTTGTAAAGAGATTTTTGTCTTTAAATAAGACATAATGCAAAACTGTTGACTGAAAAGACGAGCCACAATACCAACCAAAGCGTGCAGTGACAATGCCTGCCATAAGCATCCAAACTGATACAGAGGGTCGAGGATTTACTGACAAAGGAGAGCAAGGAGTTGACGTTTCATTTATCATCACAGGAGTAGTCACAGCCAGAGAGTAATTGCCATAGTCAATGGTTGAATTGTTCCCATCGGAAGTAATGTAGAAAACATCTGTATTGTTGCTCTGATCTGAAAATAAATGCAGACAAAAGTTTTCTATCTAAACCATTCAACTGAATTACAAACTAAAATTTGCAAAATTTGACTATCGATATACTGACTCAAAAATAATACAAGCTCATTTCAACTTCAATAACAATCATGTAATTTAATTCACCCTAACCGGCAATGACAATTCATATATCCCTCAGGAAAGGATGGTCAAACAAGGTGTAACATAATTGAGAATTTTTCAAAAGTACACGTGACGGAGACAGAAAGAGTTGAACATTTCGATACAATATATCCAACTTGTCACAGTTAGATAACATCTCAAAGTAAGCCACATTTTTGGAATACACTGACATAGAGATCACTGTTTAATATATCATTTCTTTTCCAAACCCAATCCTACAGAGACAAAGTTCTATTTCAGCCCCCCCCCCAACACACCATCACACATAATCTTGAAATAAGTTAAATTGTCTTTTTAAGTCATCATTACCCCCACATTGACCCTCACAGAGAGTGGAGACCATTGAGTGAGTTCTGAATGGAGGGATGAAGTAGACCTTTACTCATTAAACTATGGAGAAATAGTGACTTATTTTTCCTTAGTGCGAAACAAACATAATAAGAAATATTAGTTGCTAGAATCGTATACAGAAAGACACCATTTCTCCTTCTCTTTTTTCTTTTCTCTCTCTCCCTGCATCTTATTTGTTTACTCTTGTCTATGCAACCCACTAGACAAAGTTATGAGCCAAGCTGAATGGGTTATCTTAGGGTTTGTGCTTCTACTTCTATATATGCAGCCCAGCATCAGTGGAGAGGACAATCTGTTTGTTACACTTAGTAGTAACTAGCATTTTAGAGCCTGATTAACTAAGCTTTTCACGCCCCAATGCCCCAATCGACACAACTTAGATCGTTTAGATGGCAGATTTCTAACACTACCTGTCAGGGTCAATCCGGGTAGAGAAGGATACAACATCCCAGCAGGAAGACCAAGATATTTTTTAAAAATTTCTCTCCACCTCAGCTCTCCTGCGTGAAACAGTGAAACGCCTAACCACTATAGCACAGATGCTAATTAACCATGTGAGAACAGAACAAAGGCCGTTAACCAATTCAATACATCACATTGTCTTTAGTAGTGAGGCAGTGTACACTGCTTGCTCCTATGTAAAAACTATGAGTATCCCTGAGGCTTAACCCTTTGAGCCCCCATCGGTAGAGCGGTGAGCAAGACCGTATCCCCAAACTGGCTAACCTGAGACAAAACTGTGTTTACTACACAGGTCATTACTGATTTTTTTTGGAAGATCTTTCTGAAGCAGACGCTGGTAATAACAAGGACTACCATGAGTGGGATATGGAATGTGATTCTGACGATCAAATGAAAGTTAGTAATATATCGCTCAGGAGCTCAGGCAGAGGGGCACGATAGCATCAGGAGGTCAGGGCTCAAAGGGTATAAATGTTAGGTTCTTTGCTGCTGCACACAAAAGACAGGGGTTCAATTCCATAGAGGGCAAATCTATTGCAAAAAGTATATATATCCGACATTCTACTGGGATACAGCATCTCTCTCAGCCAGTAATGGCCACGGTAGATGGCCCCCTAATTTGATCTAAATCCTGATGATGGGGAGATAAAACAAATACCCTTTTTAGGACAAAACTGAACAAATAGAATCTTTCCCCTTCAGGTTACACAATACAAATGTTAAGTTTATCTTCTTTGAGGCAATCATCCATAATACTGCAAACAATTTATAAGGAAAATGATATCTGAAGAAGGAGATTAATTCTTTTAGCTTCCCTCACCAGCAGTGCAGTTTAAGCCACTATCTGGTGTGGAATAGTGGAATCCTTTGGACAAATCAAAGGGACTGTCAGGAATCCACACAGAGGCTATGCACAATGTCAGGCACAGGATTTCAAAGGAAAGGCCAAAAATGCCAGTCCGCGGCAAGCCCAGCTTTCTCCTCATGATCGGGTACAAGAAGGTTCCAACAATACCAACAACAGCTGACACACTCATGAGTCCACCAATATGTCCTTCCGTCATGCCTTGCATTTTAGCATAACCTGTAACAAAAGTATCCAGTATTATTCACTGTTTTGTGAGTGCACAACAACCACATATACAACACAATGAACAATTAATGAAAATCATGTTGATAAAAACCCAGACTTAGGGCCAATGAAAATATACTTTTCGTATCAAGACTTCAATGACTGAAGGATAAACAATAAAAAAAACTGTTACCCAATTACTGTGAGAGTAGTAAAATGGTTTGAAAATTCATTTCATTACATTAAAATAATAGAAATTAAGTCCAAGAATCTATACTTTACTCACCCACTGTGACATTGTCAAAGCCCAGGACTGTCATGTAAAGGCAGGAAAGGGCAATTCCAGCATGTACGACATCATAGCCGATGTAAATCGGCCAGCCTTTATACAACCTTTGTAAACTGTTGAAGATGCTACATCTGCATCCATTCTTGGTCTGTTCCTCAGAATCTTTTTCTTCTTTACTCTGGGCATTTCTTTCAGCCTTCTGGTATCAAAACAAACACAAACGAAATCTCAAAGACCACTAAAATTCACCAAACCCACATATAGAAGAGTATAATCCATTTTTTAAATGGGGGGGGGGGGACCTCCAACTTAACACAACTCTCTCCAATAGGACAAAGCCAATTTTGGAGAAATCTGTTAGGAACCGTCAGAAATCACAAGTCCAAGAAAGTGTGACGGAGGACTCTACCAAGGTGTGGCACTGATGTTGAATATGACACCAACTGAGGTAGTGACATGCTCTAAAACCCGCCTCAAAAGAGATATTGGTCAACAAGGCAAACTTAGCTGATGAGAAGGATCAGTAAACATTCAATTCTGATCATAATTTTCAAAGATTATCGTCATCAAAGAAGACTTTAACATAATACGTGCTTTAAATAACAAGCAGATACACTCTATTAAAGGTCATGTTGCCAATTGTACTTCCCAAAATTGAAAATAAAAGTTTTTCACTAGTGAAATCAATTCTTATTCTTTTCTCAGAGCCATGGCTTTCTGAGTGCTAGTGCTTGCATCAACACAATTTCAAAGTCAAACCAACAGATGAGAATGACTATATCCATAAGTATAGAACAGGGTCAATATATACTGGATAACACATTGATTAGCAAAAAAACCCAGATATTCGATTGCTAAATCTATATTTACATTAATAATTAGCCAGTAAAAAATGCTAATTGGATATGACATGACACACATTTACGGAGGGAGGAAAACACAGACTGCATTTAATCCTGCTCAGGATATACATTCCCTGAAGAAAAGAAAACAAAAAGTCCAGAGAATTCAAGAGTAGCTGGTATTCTAATATCCAGTGAAGAAGACATTATCGGAAGCCTTCTTTTAATCCTCATATGACTAACAGGGGACTTACATTTTTTTTTTAAGTTGCGATATTTGTTGATACCTTCTACGGAACCTATCTAAGTTGCACTGCATTGGATCACTTTCTGAGCGGGTTTTCATTTGTAGTTTAAGCACATATTATGGCTTCATGAGATTTCATTCGATGGAAAAAAGCAAGTTTTGGTTTAACTGATACATTGACATAAGAAGAAAAGTTAACTCCACCCTCCCCCACCCTGCCCCCCATCCCCATCTCTTTCAAAGTACAATCATTTCCAATTCTAAACATACTTGCAGCACTAGACAAGTTTACGCTAGACATTATGGCTTTCACAACAAACCATCACATCAAAAGGAAACATATAATAGCAAAAATAATTCATAGTCATGCAATCTTACACTTTGTTCCATAAGAGGTGTTGGGGCTCCATCCTCATTGTCAGCTTCTGGGGAATCTGGAGTCTCCTCAGTCTCACTGAACTGTTGTGGAACTTCAGCAGAGCCTGCCTGAACTACATCTGTATGTAGAACAGAGCCAGTTTGTATTGATTGTAAATTTCTTTATCTAAATGTGTGTGAGCCTAAAGAAATGTACCAAAAGTCGGATTTTCACCATTTTGAGTTAAGGGTTGTACCTTATAGGAAATAAATTCAATGCTGAACACAAGGGTTTTTGAATTTTTTAGACATCTCAAGTAATTTTTGAGATATTGCACATTTTGAGAGGTAGGGTAAAAAAATATAATTTTGAGAAAATGAGCTTTTAAGTTTTACAAACGTGAGAACACATACAAACTTTAAAAAAAAAGATTTTAAAAATGTATTTATTCATGAAAAGTTCTTGGCATGCAGTTGACATCGATATCATGAATGGAATTCAAAGGTAAAACATAGCAGGGAAGAGAAAACGTGCTTCAACAATAGATTTTAACACATTTTAAAAGCAGTTTTCATTACTTGTTTTTACTATACCCTTCCCTCAAAATAATTCAAAATAAAACATTTAGAAGTCAAATCGATGAAAACCCTTTGAGTACATTGTAAAATAATGTTGGATCTATCATTTTTTTATGGAAACACATTTTGGTCAAAAAAGAGATTTTTGTCATTATATCAGCCTGTAGCTCAACAGTCTGGGGTGACTTTTGGTACCTTTCTCTGGGCACACACACAAATGTAGGAAATTATTAGTAAAAAAAAAGATTGCTTCAGGCACCACATTTAGGACAACACTTGTTTTGTGTTTTTTTATTTAGAAGACATTTGTGATGCAACGTGGTGAAATCAGGCGCTCGTCAAAATAATGAAATTGAAGAAACTGGCATTTTTCTGCAAAAGTTTGGTAATTTTTATCGAATTTTTCTTTTTCAGCTAAAAACCGTTGTCCAATTAAGAACACATTTCTGTGTGGATTTTTACTGGAAAAACGTTGATTAAAGGCACAAAAATGCAAGTTTTCAGTTTCCACAGACTATTAAGCTATAGAAATAACCAAACTTTGGTGGCCATTTTCTCACTAATTTAACTTTTGAAACCAGGCAACCCAACCTTCATCAATATCAAATATCTTGACTTCTATTCCAGATTTAAGGGCATTTTTTTTCACCATTATCAGGACAATTGAACTAGTTTTAAGATGATACCAATAGCTCCACATGCCCGAAAATTGATGAGCGCCTGATTCCACCGCGTTGTGACACATTTGAAAGCTGTTTTACATAAGTTGAGAGTGACACCTGAGTGAGGAGAAGTTGAGTATCTCACCTTGCAATCATACATAGAAATAAGCGTTTCAAAAATTGGAGAAGCTTTATTTTTCTTTGGAATTATTTTTCCTATTCTGTCTAGACAAAGACAAATATGAAAAACAGGACTTTCAATCCAGCAGACGCATGTATGCAGACAATAAACAAAAGGGGCATTTCTCTCACATTATAAGTATACATCATTTTATACCTTTAATCTCTTGATCTGTTGTATCACCAGCTGCCAAGGCAAGTACTGAAAAAAAAGGAACAACACACTATCAATGCTAAAAGAAACAAAATTAAAAGAAAACAGCATACTTAAAAAAACAACTGAGACGAATTTCTGACAGAGCAATCAATAATTCATAGCTGTTAATGTAAAGAAATATTTCCAGGACAAATGCTCCACTCATTGTTCTTTGGTGAGTGCCCATGTCAAATTTAGCAGATCATAAGGTCAGCCAGGAAAGGGTCAGGGCAGATGAAGTCACAACTACGGTGAAGTCTGCTTAAACCAAACACGGTGAATCCAAAAACAGCAATAAACTGGAGGAATGGGGAATGGAAAAATAATCTTCCAAGTGACTTCCCTTTGTCTGAGCTGACTATTTAGAGTACTAACTCACCGCCTCAGAATTACAAAGTTTTATCTGCTGACATATTGGCCGTGCTGTGTTACTGAGACCATTAGGTCAGAAATCAAATGCCTTATCTGCTCTATCAAAATCGAAAGATTCTTATGAGTTGTTATCAAGATATTCAAAGAATTGCATTCGAAAAACCTTTAAATATTGTGAAACTCAAAATTTTTTAAGCAAAATTTCTCAAAACTAGGTACAGAGCAGATAAAACTTTTAAATTCTGAGACAGCAATCTGTCCTGCCCCATGATTGTCACAAATGGTGAGGTAGAAAGCAAGTACGTCAAAAGTACCTTCTGATCTCTTCAAATTCTTTTTTCTCCGAAGAGCTGGCACCGTGTTGTAAACTTTCCATAAAAAGTAGTACTCAATCACAACAGAAACTAAGTTCCATCCTCCTATAAAAAGAGCTCCAAATTCCACTCCAGCAAATGTCATAATAAGTCCAGTGGCCACCGGTGCCAACACTTTGGTCGACAGATCAATGCGCCGCAAGGAGGCTGTCATAGCTGGGAAGAAAAAGATAAATGCATTAAGGAAAATATCAGACTCAGACACTAATTCATGAGTAACAACATCAAAACGACAAGAGGGCTAAGGAAAGACAATTACAGTATAACCCTCTCCCACACTATTTTCCTCATTCCTTCATCCCTCCTCTTCCCCCCCCCTCCCCACAACAAACGCACAAGTATACACCTTTTTCTCTTTCATCCTCCAACTCTTCCATTTCTCATTCTATGGCTCTTTATCTTTACTTCACATTTGGATCCATAACTGAAAATTAAACATTTGGGAATTTATACACACATGCATGTAGAGGTACATACACAAGAACAAATGGCACAACTTTCTTAATTATTGGCAAGAGCATTTCTAGGACTAATAACAGTGCCTAACATTATATACATTTTTCAAAAATGTTTGAGGACAAAACGGGTGAGATAGAAAACGAATCAAAGCAAAAAACCCAAACAATGCAACACTGTTTCTTTCTTTCATTCTTTCTTTATCCTTCATCTCCAACCATCTTTTTGTCAGAAAGTCAAGAAGAGGAGTAGGATATTGTTGTTCTTAGGGATCTTCTTCCTCGAAATTAATTCAGGTCGTCCTTGGTCTTCCTTTAGCATTCCAGCCAGACACTTTCATGTTGTATGCCTTATTACTTCTTAGTCAGCTGGTGGGGTTTATGCAGGTCGAATGTCCAAACTGTTTGATAAATTCTCAGCTGCTGTTAGATGCACTGGTGGGTTGAGGTTGCCACAACCATTTCTCTGTTCTTGCAATTTCACATCAAGTTGTGTCTGTTCTTGTAGATGGTTCTTGTCAAGATTCACATCCTGCAGGCAGAAATCTTGTTTTCTAGGCTTTATGCCAGGGTTGAAGTCCGGCTCTGATCGGCTGAGGTAGGGCCAAGCAACATTATGAACATGAAAAAACTTTATGCAAGAGTTATGTCATTTCAACTGCTCAGTGTAAAACTTCGTCATGCCTCACTTTTTAAAATAGCGTTTGGTGGAGTTTTGCACTGAGCTGTCCATTTGTTAGCTCAGTTGTAAGACATATTCACCAGTTCGGAAAAAAATCCAATAGCAAACTTTGACAGAGTATCAAAAAATATAAAATGCATGGCAAAATTTCTTACTTGCTAGCTTGTCTGAGTCTCCACCACATATCTCAACGATCCAGTCTTTTTCCACTGCAATACTGCGAGCAATACTAGACAGCTGAGACAAAATGGAGAAGATGATAATGATTGCGTATATGACATATTTGATCCACAATCCCACAGAAAGGATGTCTGCACTGTACTTCAAATAGATGTAGATGACGGCCACATTCAAAATGACAAATGCATTTTGGAGTACTAAGGCCACCTGAGCAGCTGAGGGTAGAATAGAATCAAAACAAAATTAAGCATTATTCACATTCTAAGACTGACATAGAAGCATGAGTATGCACAACAATGTCTGCATTAAATATGAAACCAATGAATAAATATTCAATACATTTGTTTATATCATTCTTATGTTACTGACTATTATAGTAAAATAGTTTGATCAATTTTAATGAATTATTTGTAAGTCCTAGGCTGGATTCAATTATATATCTTCAATCAAACTGCAAGTTACACTGTTTCCATGTGAGTCTCTCTGCTCAGCTAGCTGTGTTAATCAATAGCAAAATTGGGGATTGGTTGCCAAATGTCTGGCCAGAACAAAATGTTTCTGGGGAGTATCTACCCTTTCTGAATACATTGTTTTTCATTTCTTTTGAAGCTTCTGTGTAACAAAATAAACACAATCAATTTATTTCTTTTCATCCTAAATGACGATATCGTAATTGTACAGGGAAGAAATGATTGAACTTCAACAAAATAATTTCATAATGAACTGTTAAAACAGCACCCAAGACCTCAAAGCTCATATTACATAGATGAGATATAAATAAGTCAGTCTGCCAGTTCTATAACAAAGATATGAATACAAACAGGTACTTACACCCAAATATGAAACAGGTACTTACACCCAAATATGAAAAAAATAATCTTAGGTGAACATCTGAGACGGACAAAGAGGGACAAAAAACTGTACACTCTTACAGTTCAACCAACCCCATCTTCACAGCACAGAGAAAAACATTTAACTTTCCAGTGTGTAATTAATAGTGGACAGTGGAAGTCTACCACCCCTTTAGGACATATTTACAAGAATTCACATGGTCAAACAAGGAGAGAGAACAGAGTGATTACCCTTGAGTCTGGGTGACACATCCACAATGTCTCCAATGAGAGCACCAAAGAGTAGAACGCTGATGCCCCTACTCAGGCCACTGGCAGCAGTCAGCTGCAGGGACTCTGGGCTGATGTTGATAAGGAAAATCCCAATACCAAAAGCCCACATTCGGTCACCCTGATATCAGAAATTCGAAACTTGTTGGATTAGAAAATATTGTGAAAGAAATATTTCAAATAGCATACTCTGCAGGTCTTTTTTAGATATTTTGCTTGTATGCATTATCCAATGACAAAAGCTGTTAAAAATAAAACAACTCAGGGATCTATTGTAAAGTAATAAAATAAAGTCTATCTGAAATATTAAGTCTGAGTTAGAGTTCTACCCTCCTTTCATTTCATGTACAATTTATGATGAAATAAATAAGATAAGATAAGATAAGATAGTACTTTATTATCCCAGAGGGAAATTTTCCTTGGCTGTACAGGACCGTAACAACAAATGTAGGTATACATAAAAAATCTAAAATAAATATATTACTCTCATTAAAATTCAATATGAAAGGAGAAATAAAGCTGACAAAATGTACATTTACATCAAATGCATCATTTCACCACATGCAGGAATTTAAATACTAGACCTTTGGAGTCATCTACAGATACATACTCTAAGAGCAATACACATCTATGCTCATTCTGACAAAAGCCTTATGCTAAATGGTAAAAAACTTCTTTTATATCTTTCTTTCTTTGTTTTTGGAGGTACATATCTGCCGCTGCGTGATCTTACAATTTGTGACGAAAAGGGGTGTGATGGTTTGTTTATCACACCCCTTTTCCACACAAATTGTAAGATCACGGACTCACTATTCCAACTCCCTCATTGTAAAGACAGGGCGGAGAATATTAAAACTCTTGAATAACAAACAAGAACCGTCGAAAACACAATTTGCTGTTAGCATGAACAAAAATGAAAGAACAGTTTCAGAATGCACAAGTACACAAAGCTTTAAATGGTTACTTTGCTTTAATTTGCTAGCACCATTCATGGGGTATTCTCGGACATTATTTCGTTAACAAGAAAAACCTATAAGTGTGTAAAACTACAAACTCAACTATTAGTCTTCTAAAAATGGTTCAGAAGAGTCACTTCACACTCTACACAATCAAAATGGAGTTAGTTTGGGGGCTCTCGTGGCCTGGGTTAAAGTGTTCGCCTCTCATTCAAAGGTCCCGGGTTCGAATCCGGGTAGCGATTGAAATATTTTCATCTCTAAAATAGTCTCATTTCACCTTCTTTCCTGCTCTTTAGCAATGTTCTGTGTATGTCGTCTGCTTTTGTCTCCACTTTCTGCTCCCACCCACTCACTTCCTTTACCCCCTCCTCTAGGCTCCTGACTCTTTCTGCAGCCTTTCTACTGTTACTCACTGGCTCCTTCTTACTGCTGTCTTTAAGCCGTACCCCTGATCTTCTGGTAGGAAAGATCTCCAACTAGACTTCTTGGACAAGGGAGAAAAATCTCGGAGGTTCCATGTGCAAGTTGCGCACATTAAAGATCCCTTGATGGTCTAAAATCAATAAGATTAGGCTTTGGCTGCCACCCGAGGAAAATTTTTAATTTCCTACCAATCGAAAATGTTCAATGTGTCCCGCGTGCTCATATGACTTTATGCAGTTGCGAGCGCCGTACAACACTAACCAAAAAAAACACAAAAAGTAAATCTCACCCATGCTGACAGGCAATGGCTCAGGTACACGAAAAAGTTGGTACTGGAGAAAAACCCTTTGCCAGGAC